CAGGAGATGGCTGAGGATGGAGCGGTGCCGTCACTGCCTGATCTCTATCTCAGCTGCGTTGGAGGCGGCAGGGATGAGCCAGCTCGGTGCTGACAGCATTGCTGAGGTGTTTTTCCAAGCAGAAATGGCTCTCCAGGCAGGCAGAGGTGTGCCTGGGACGGGGTGGTGCCCACGGCTCTCGGCTCCAGCCTGGCAGTGCCCGCAGCACCCTGTTCCATCTCACTGACCGAGGATCTCCTGCCCTTCCTGCTGCTCCCAGCACGCCTGGCTGTGTGATGGGAGAGCTGGGGCCTGCCACAAAGCTCCGTGTCAGGGCTTTCAGAGCTCTGCACAGCCCTCCCGTCACACAGCATGCTGTCCTGGCTGGCTGGAGCGTGCCCTGGTTCCTGACCTGCCCTGGCCACTCCAGGTCTGGTTTTGTGCAAGGTGCTGCTGGATACAGGGCAGGCACCAGGTCCTGGGTGTGCCTGACACTGAGCCAGGCTGGACATGGCCCTGCTGCCCAGCCTGCCCTGAGATGGGCTGAGTGATGGGACTGAAGCCCAGTGAGCTGTGCCCCTGGCCTGGCACCCCTTTCCCAGCTCTCAGGAGGCAGCAGGGGCTCTGTGCTGTGTCTGCAATCCCTCTGTGTGTGTTTTCTGAGCTCCCAGGCTGTTCCTGGCTCTGAGCACAGCTCAGGGCAGAGTCCAGGCCTGCTGGGCTGTGGGAAGGGAGGTTTCACAGCCAGGTGAGCGTTTCCCTTCACCTGCACCCTGCAGGCACCCTGACTGCTGTAGAACCACTGAATGCTTCGGGTTGGAAGGGATCTTCAAGGCCAGCAAGCTCCAAATCCCTGACACACTTTCCACTATCCCAGGGTGCTCCAAACCCCATCCAACTTGGCCTTGGACACTTCCAGGGACGCGGCAGCCACAGCTCCTCCGGTCACCCTGTGCCAGAGCCTCACCACCCACGTAGGGAAGAATTTCCTCCCCATATTCCATTTAACCCTGTCCTCCGGCAGTGGAAGCCATTCCCTCTGTCTCTCCAATCCATTTTTTGCCCCCAGTCCCTCTCCAGCTCTCCTGGAGCCCCTTTAGGCGCTGAAAGGGCACTGAGCTCTCCCTGGAGCGTCTCTTTTCCAGACCGGACACCGCAGCAGTGTCCCGAGCAGAGTTGCTCCATCCCCCTGAGCATCCCCGTGCCTTCCTCTGGGGGGCTCAGGGAGCCGCGGGGGCCGGGCCGTGCTGGCCGCGCCCCCGCCGCTGCCCGCGCCCCCCGCCCCGCAGCGCCGCCCCCGCCCCGCCCGCCCGCTCCCCTTTGTGCGGCAGCCCCGCTCCGAGCTCCGAGCTCCGCTCCGCTCCCCGGCACCGCCCGGAGCCGCGGGGCCAGCCCGGCTCGGCCCGGCTCCGCCCGGCCAGCTCAGGTGGGTCCGGCCGCCCAGGGGTCTCGGGGGCGGTGGGGAGGAAAGGAGGGAACGGAGGGAGCGGGGGGCTCGGGGTGCGCCCGGCAGCGCCGCTCGGGGTGCGAGCCCCGGTACCGGCTGCGGGACCGAGCCCAGCCCGCTGCCAGCGCCCCCGCCCCGCTGCCCCGGGGCATCGCCCCCCGCCGCCCGCATCCCGGCCCCGGCGGCTGCCATGGCAACGCCGGGTACCGCGCTTTCCCTCGGCCCACCGTTGCCTGGTTACCAGCCCCCCGTGCTGGGGGGATGCCCCACCCGCGACCACCGCGGGGAGAGCCGGGCACGGGCGGTGCTGTGCAGGGCTGCGGGGAACCGGGGGATGCCGGGGAGATCCCGGGCAGCGGGGGGTCCCGGGGAGCCGGGGGGAGCCGGGGGATCCCGCTCCGGCAGCCCTTGGCAGCGCTGTGGCTCCTGTTGTTCCGTGTTGTAGTAACACCGTGCGTAAACAGCCGAGCGCTCAGCCCGGGCAGGCGTACGGAGGGAGGGAGGAAGGGAAGAGCAGCGTGTCTCTCTCAGGGTGTGTGATTAATGCTTCCAAAGAAACGGGTTTCAGAGTCCATGTGGTGGAACTTGGATCTCGCAGGGATGTTTCTGTGGGAGGGAGAGTGACAGGTGGTTTGTGTGGATGTGAATGAGCAGCGCGAAGGAGCAGCCTCTCCTCTCGGGGAAAGCCGTGTGTGGATTGGAATGGAGCACCCATCTTGGCAAGCCCACAGCGCTCTGAGATGCTGGTGGGTCCCGCTGGGATTTCCAGCCCCGCTGGGTGGTTTTGCCCCCAGTTTGAAACAAAGACAAACCCGGAGAATCCCCGCTCACGCACAACTGGACCAGGTTCTCAGGCGGAGTGGAGTGGAGAGCTGCCAGCATGGATGCCATGGCTGCCACGCCAGGCCACCTGTGGAACCTGCTGGAGGATATCCTGTGCCTGCAGGGTGTGAGCCTGCCTGCACCTTCCCCCCATCGGCCTCATGGCCCACACTCACCTGGAAATCTTATCTGCTTTGTCTCAACGTGCCCATTCAGGTAAAGCATGGAGGAAGCCACGGCTGTGCTGGGCGTGGAGGGCACTCCCTGGCACAGCAAAGCAGCAGCTCTGTGTCCACCTGCTCCCCCGTGTTTGCCTTGCAGGCTGTTTGTGTGTTTGCAAGGTGTGACGAGGCCGCTGAGCTCTGCAGCTGTTGTGCCCCCGAGCATGGGGAGGGCACCGCTGGCACTGGCAGCAGGGAGGTGTCCTGTCCTGCCCTGTGCCAGCCAGGGGCTGTGCCACCTCTCACCACTCTGTGCTGGGGCAGTGCTGCTGGGCACTGCTGCCTGCCTTGTGCTCACGGTGGTGACAGCAGAGGAGAGAAGGGAGAAAATGTCTGCTCTGATGTGCTGCAGAGCGCGGCCCTGCTGTGGTACCCAGCGCACCCAGGAGCCTCAGACAGCTCCCTGCTGCTCTGCCGGAGTGTTCTGATGGTCTGGGGCACTCTCACCACCAGGATCCTCCAGGGAACCCCTCCTTTGTCTCACCTGTGGCATTCTCCTGGCCGATGCCCCTGCAGAGCCAGGTTATTCAGCTGGTGTGTGACCAAACAAGGGTTTGGTGGGTCCAGGCAGGTGCACGGTCAGGTTTACAGCCCTTGGTTATCTGTTAATCAAATAAGGAGGGATCAGGAGCAGCAGACTCCTGTGGAAGGTGATGCTTTGCACCTGCTGGGTTCCCTGGCCAGGCAGCCTTAAGCTCAGCAGGGTTTGCACTTCACCCAGTGAAGGATTGGCCTCGCTGCCTCATTGGGGTGTCCTCGGGGGTCTGGGGACTGTGCTGAGCCCCACATGGCTGAGGCTCCTCAATGGTTTAGGGTCAGTTCCATGAGGCTGGAAGAAGCCCTGCAGGAGTTCTGGGGCACAGGTGAGGGATGGTGTGCTCAGAGACACTCCAAACCAGCAGAAGAGACAATCACACTGCAGCAAAGCGTGTCTCCCAGCCTCTGAATCAGCACCAGATTTGGGAAGGGCCATCCACACCGGAATGGCGAGGGCTGGAAATCTTCTCTCCTCTCTCATTTAGCAGCACGAGGCACAACAACAGGCACATTAATAGGCAGATTGATGCTGACGTGAAATGGCAGAAGAGCCCATCTCTGCAGAGCTGGAAATGTCCATTCACACATGCACGCTCTTCACCGCCCCGGGCAACGGAGCGCTGCTGTCACGGTCTGGGGGGCTCTGCACAGAAACCAGAGATTTTAACTGGCTCTGATCTTCAGGAGATGCCCTGAGGACTCCTGACGGAAGGCGGAGGCTGCGCTCTGATGTCTGAGACTTGACAGGGCAGAGCCATGCAAAACAATGAAAAGGAAAAGGGGACTTGGAGATCCAGCTGCGTTACAAATTCACCTGCCTCGCTCTGGCAGGATTTGCTGCTCTGCAGAGAGCTGAGCCGGGCAGGAGAGACTGGCTCTGTCTGCCCGGATTTGCTGCTCCTCTCCTGGCCCGGACTCCATGCACGCACACCCACCAAGCCAGTGGGAATGGGAAGGAGGGATCCTGCAGGAGGAAGAGGCTGAGAAGGAGCCGTGGCTGTGCTCTGCGTGGAGGGAGTGGTGGCTGTGCGTGTGGCAGGGCTGTGAATCATCGGTGGCGCGCGTGGGTGCGGGCGGCTCCCAATGCCAGGGTGGCACCCTGCCCTGTCACCCTGCCCTGTCACCCGGCCTTGTTGGTGTCACCCTGGCTGTGCTGGGCAGGGACCCTCACCATGGAGCCTCTGGCAGCACTGGGTTAATCCCCCAATGTGACCGTGTTCACAGGGGTCCCAGGATGAGGGAAGAGATGAGGATCTGACTCCATGTTTCAGAAGGCTCGATTTATTATCTTATTATATATATTATATTAAAACTATACTAAAAGAATAGAAGAAAGGATTTCATCAAAAGGCTTTGTGTCTCAGACAGAGAGTCCAAGCCAGCTGACTGTGATTGGCCATTACAAACAAACCAACATGGATCAATCCCAGATGCACCTGTTGCATTTCACAGCAGCAGATAACCATTGTTTACATTCTGTTCCTGAGGCCTCTCAGCTTCTCAGGAGGAGAACTCCTAAGGAAAGGATTTTTCATAAAACATGTCTGTGACACCCCAACCCACTCCCATCCACATCCTCCCAGAGAACAGCAAACTCTGTGTACTTCCTCGCTCTGTGCAGCTGCTTCCTGCCCCCTGAGCCTCTCACAAATTCCTGCTGCCTCCTCCTGCCACCGGCTTTTCTATGGGGGTGGGGATGGTGGGAAGATATCTGGTGTCCCCCAAAAAGCAGCAGGCTGAGCTGGGATGAGAGGGAAGGCGAGTTCTGGGCGCTGCTGCTTGGCTCTGGTGCTGCTCCGCCTCTCTCCATTTTTCACCGGATCTCGCAGTTTTAACAGGAAACCCCCTTGTTTTGGCTGAGTCACAGGCATTGCCACTGCCCGTGCTGACTCCAAACTTTGTGTCACCAGTGGGAAGCAAGCAAGGAAAGATCTGGGCTGTGGGACGTGGCAGCTGCTGTTTTCCTCTCCATTCCTGTGCCAAGGCACAGCTGGAGTCACCATGAGGCGAGCAGAGCGGCAAACCCTCGGCAGCGCTCGCTCTTCTCACTTTATTTCAGCTTCAGGAAGAGGTGGGTGGGCCAGCTTGGAGCAACCCAAAAAACCTGTGGCTCTTTGCGAGGCATATGCTCCCTTGGAGGCGAGCTGGGCTTGCACTGTGTGTTTGCCTTGGGAGCAGGGACACTGCCAACCCTGGCGGCTCGCTCGTGCAGAGATAAGGCTGAGCGCAGGCAAGTGTGTGAATTCTAGGAACTGAGATGGAAAAACAAAGAGCATATGTGTGCTGCGTGCTTGGCTCGGCCCAGCAGCGAACTCTGCCGCGCTGCGTGCGAGGAGCCAAACGCTGAGCAAAGCCTTTGTGGGGTGTGTGTGTATGGCTGGGCAGGGCCCAGTGCCACGTGGAGGGGCTCAGGGCAGGAAATAACACAAAACTCCCAGAGTGTGTTCTTCAGGGAATGCTCTAGTAGCGGGCAAACAGCAGCAAAACAGCAAAAATCTTTTGAATTATTTGTTTGAGAAATATGGGAGCCAATTAATATTGATCACAGCACGAGAGCTGGGTCACAGCCCTTGTGCACACACAGAGCCCTCGTGGGGTAAAGTGGCTGAATTTGCAGCTTCCAACGCAAGAAAAGGGGCATGTGCAGCTCGCAGCGACTGTGCCACCAGCTGTGGGCTCTTTGTGTGCGTTTCTAAGAGCTGGTAATTACCCCGAAATCTGCATCTCAGCAAACGAGGGCGTTTGTCTGCCCGGCAGCTGCAGCAGAGGGGGATGAAACCCTGCAGTGCTCGGGTAAACACTTCGCCTTCGGAATGCAAACCGTGGGAGGGAGGGAGGGACGGGAGCCACCCTGGGATGCCGCTGGTTGTGATGAGCAAGGCGGGGTCTGGGAGGGTCGGTGGGGCTCCCACCTCTGTGGGTGCACTGGCAACCGCTGGGGCCGGCTCTGGTGGGCATTGCTGTGCCAGTCCGGGAGTGTGGAGCACAAACTGCGGGAAGCGGCCGTGGCAGGGTCTGAGGGGTTGGAGCTTGCAGCGGAATCAGGTCAGGCTCCGCAGGGACTGCTGGAGAGCGGCTCTGTGCCTCGTCAGCGAGCGAGCTGAATTCCTGCCGTGTCCAGGGCCCCTTCCTTATCGGCACTAATCCAGCGCGGCAGCTGCGGCGGCTCCGGAGCGCTCGGCGCTCCCGATAACCTCCCTGGCAGCCCCGAGCCCTCTCCATGGCCCGGACCATGTATGGGCACCCAGCCCGGCGCGGGGCACGGGGTGAGCGCCTGGCACCGCTGACACCGCGGGCAGAGCTGTGGGGACGCTGACAGGGCCAGCCTGGCACCGCTGACACCGCAGGCAGAGCCCCGGGGAGCCGCGGGGACGCTGACAGGGCCAGCCTGGCACCACCCGCTCCGAGGGGGCTGCATCGGCCCAGCCCTCCACTGCCAGGTGTGCCCCCCACAGAAAACCGGGTCTGCAGTGCAGGACGGGGAGCAGCTCCCCGCTGTCCCCTGGCTGTCCCCTGGCTGTCCCTGCCTGTCCCTGGGGGCTGCAGGAGGGATTCTGCAGCCAGCCGTGGGTAGCGATGCCCTCCCTGGGCACAGCAGCGCTGCCCCGACAGTGAAGGTGCCCATCCCAAGGGTGTCACCCTGGTTTTTTAAGATTTTCTGTCTTCTGATGTTGACATTCTGGTAGTGAGCTTTCTCACACGCTTTCTGTAAATAACTCATTGTTTTGCATTCCTTTATAGAAAAGGAGAGAGTTGATGGGCTGTTGGTTTGTCCAGTGTCATTGGAGAGGTGGCACTGCCACCCTCCAATCCTCTGTCACTCTCAGAAATCTATAAATGTTAGAGTCGGAAAATAAACTTCCCTTTTCTCTTCACCTTGAGAACAGTGGTGTGGGCTTGTGTTCTCTCGTGCCCTATAGGGACACAAGGGCAGCTGGGGTCGTGTCCCCCTGCCCGAGCTGGCCCGGAGTGTCACAGCCTGGCCACAGCATGCTCAGAGCCGGGGGAAAGGTCCGAGCTCCGGCCGGGTGTCCCCAGTGAAGGGACAGACACAGGAGGGGACACCGAGGTTATTTCTGGCCTCTGCTTGGTGCTGCAGGGAGCCCGGAGGGCGAGCGAGTCTTTGAGCTCAGTCCCACCAGGGCCGCTGGCCTCATTGCCGGTGTAATTGCTCTGCTAATTGGGACAGATCATCACCAGGGGCCGGGTCGGGGGCTCATGGCCGGGTGCTGTGCCGAGAGGAGCCCTGGGATGCTCAAAACCAATGAAGTTTTAAGAGCAGATGTAGGAAGAGCGAACTAAAATTGTTCTTCTTGCCTCTTCTTCCGTGGTGTCTCTTAAATCTTCTTGAGGAAGTTTTTAATTGAAACGAAAACCGCATTAAAAAAATAATAATCCCAAGTGTGAATGGAGTCTGTCCCAGTTTAGAGGCTGGAAATATTCAGCAAACTGGTTAAGTGATGCCAACTTCTCCCAAAGACAGCGGGATTTAGGCTTGAGTGTTTTAGCAAACTAGGGTAACTGTAAATCCAGCCTCTTTTTTTATTATTTTTGTCTCTGTGGAGGTTTAGGTTGAATATTAGGAAAAGGTTCTTCCCCCAGAGGGTGCTGGCACTGCCCAGGCTCCCCAGGGAATGGGCACAAAGGCTGCCAGAGCTCCAGGAGCGTTTGGACAGCACTGCCAGGGATGCCCAGGGTGGGATTGTTGGGCTCTTGGCCCCATTGCCTGCAGAGCAAACTCGAGACTGCACTGAGGTTTATGCCAAGTGGAGACGGTCGAAAATGCCTCCAAAAAAAGTCTGTGTGGCTGCTGAACCCCTTTCCTTGCTGCCTTTGAGCTGCTGGGCTGGGCACAGCGATGGCACCGGGTGTTTGCCAGGACCAGCCTGGCTCTCCCCGTGGCGTGGGCTGGCTTTGGGCTGCCTGCAGTTCCCCCGTGCTCCTCCCTGGCCTTGTCCCAGTGCTGACACCCTCTCTCCCCTCTCTCCCCTCTCTCCAGCAGCCATGGAGGCCGCGCTCATCTTCCTGTGCTCCCTGCTGGTGCCCGCAGCCCTGGCAGACGGTGAGTGCCCGTGCTGCCCCCACACAGCTCAGGAACGGGCTGGGGAACCTGGAACGGCCTCCACACAGACCCAAGGGGCTGGAGGGGATGTGGGGCAGCAGCCATGAGAGCCCAGAGCCCCAGGGTTTGTGGGGAGCTGGCAGGGCTCACCAGGGGCTCGCTCACCTCACCCCCCCATTCTGCTCGTTTGCAGTGGCCACCCAGGAGAAGGAGGAGGAGGATCCCTTTAACTATGGTGAGTGAGCATGGCTGAGTGTGTGGGGGTGCCGTGGGCAGCAGGGAGCTGTCCCCTCCCTGGAGCCAGCAGCAATGAGCCCTGTGTGTCCCCCCCGTCCCAGATTACCAGAGCCTGAGGATCGGGGGGCTGGTGTTCGCCGTGGTCCTGTTCACCGTGGGCATTCTCCTCATCCTCAGTGAGTTGGGGATGTGCTGGGTGCTGGGCTGGCAGGTGGGGCTGCAGGGGCTGTTCCCGTGGTGGGAAAGGCCCCATCCCATTCCCCCTTGGGTCACGCTCACGTTGCTGCTCTCCCCTTGCAGGCAGGAGGTGCAGGTGCAGTTTCAAGCAGAAGCCCAGGTGAGTGGTGGGGAACACCTCCCTTGGAAAGCCCCTCTGGATCCTCCTGGGCTCCTTCTCACAGCTGGCAGAGGGGCTGCTCTCTCTGGGTGTCCCTTTGGGGTGCCCAAACTGGGGGAGCAGCTCTGCCTGCTGCCCCTGCACCTTCCTGGCCACCCCAGCCCCTGATGGAGCTCAGATCCCAGCCCCTGGTGGGGCTCACACCCCAGCCCCATCAGATCCCAGCTCTGCCCTCACCTTGCTCCTCTCCTTGCAGGGCTCCAGGGGACGAGGAGGCTCAGGCAGAGACCCTGATCACCTCGAACGGTAAGGTCACTGTCCTGTGGTCCCTGTGCCACCTCCCCCTGCCACAGCCCCCTCCCAAAGCTGGGCAGGCACCACAATCCCCTCTGCTCTTCCCTTTGCAGCAACGGCGGCACCGAAGGCAGAGAACTGAGCAGGAGCCAATGCTGTGAGTCCAGGCCAGGATGGGAGGGACAGCTGGGATTACCTGTGGGGCTCTGAGCAGAGCAGTGGGACTGGGCAGCTCTGCATCCCTGGGATGGGCTGGGGGCGAGCGCTGGTGGGGTCCACAGCAGGGAAACTCAGCACTGGTGAGGGCCTGAGTGTGCACAGGCAGCCCAGCAGGAAAAGGAAGCATCTGCCTGGATTTTCCCTTGTGTTACACTTCCTTTTCTGCTGCTCCTCCGCCCCTGAGCGGTTTTGGTGTTAGGGTGTCGGCAGCAGGGTGGGGATAGCCTGGCCATGGCAGCGGTGTGGTTAAAGCCTGGCCATGGCAGCAGGATGGGGATAGCCTGGCCATGGCAGCAGTGTGGTTAAAGCTGACCCCTGCCCTGCTCCCCACGCAGAGCCAGAGACCCCAGGAGGGACACCCAGAGCGCAGATGCCCGCAGCCTGTGAGGACACTGAAACCCCAGCTGCAGGAACCTCTCGAGCCGCGGGGCTGCCGTGCCCGTGTCCCCTCTGTGCTCCAGCACCGGTTCTCTGTCCCCAACCCCACTGAACTCTGCTCACTGTCCTCTCTGCCTCCCGTGGTGTGCCACGTTGCTGTGAGATGATCCTTGCCTCTAGGGCTCGTTGTTGCTGGTGTTGTAATCGTGACTTTCTCCTCGCCCTCCTCGTGCTGTGCGTGTGGTTTGGGCTCGGTAGGACCGGCAGGTCTCTGCCCTTTGGGGTGCCCCCCACGCCTGGGGACAGGGGGCTGTGGGTCAGGGACCCCCCTTCCCTGCCCAGGGCCAGCAGCACAGCCCCCCTGGCTTTGGGCAGGGCTTGGGGACCTGCAGTGCCCTGGGGACCTGCCCAGCCATTTCAGGGCCACCCGTCCCCATTTCAGCAATAACCCCCTGCATGCCCCAGCCTAAAAACAGCCATGGTGGGGGGTGGGCCAGGCAGGGACATCCCTCCCATGGCTCTGCCCTCCTCGCTGGGGTCACTGGGGTGCTGGATTCAGGGCTGAAGGGAGCTCTCCTGCCTCTCCTGCTGGGCACTCCCTGCCAAGGAGTTGTTTCTGTCCCTGCTCAGACCTTGGCGTGCTGCTTTAAGTGTGGGGGCAGAGGAGCCCGTGAGGTCCCCAGCACGGTGACACCGTGGGTGAGGGCAGCAGCACAGCAGTGACCTCCCTGACCAGCACACACCAACTCCTGCCCATGAGCCAGAGCTGGGTGGGTGGCACAGTCTGAGGGCTGAAGGGAACCAGAGATCCTGTCTGTGCTTGTCTGTGGCACAGAAGGGGCAGTGGCATCTCCTCCTGGTGCTCCCTGCCCCTGCTGGTGCCTTGTCACCCCCTGTGCCACCCGTGTCAGTGCTGTGTGTTGTCCCGTGGTGGTTTCATGTCACCCCCAGTGCCACCTGTCCCCTCTCCCCATGGAGCAGCAGCAAGTGGCACTGGGTGATCCTCGGGGCTTTTGCACACCTGAGCTTGCACTGTGACAACGTGCTGAGCCCGGAGGTCATTGTCACCCTGTGTCCTCTCATGGGCCAGAGGCAAACCTGTGATTTTTGGCTCTTACCCACGTCCATGGGCAGGTAAAGCCTCGGCTGGGGCTGGGCACTGCCAGCTTGGGTGGGGCAGCACTGGGGGGTCCCCAGGGCTTCACTGAAACCCCTCAGGGTGCCATCCCCACACCGGGAAGGGGGTCCTGTCCCCCAGGATGGTTTTGAGAGGAGTTTCTGCTGTGTCCATCCCTCTGTGGCGGCCCTGCCTCCAGCGTGCTCTGTGTCCCTGCATGCTCGGCATCACTCGGTGGCACCGGGAAGCTCTGTCCCCTCTGTGCCAGGCAGAGGGGCCGTGTCTCTCGTGTTGTGTCCCTTCCCTCCGTCCTGGCTGTTGCAGAGCTCCGTGCAGGGCAGACCCCGGCCCGGCCCCCGAGTGTCGCGGTGTGTGTCCCGGTGCTGTCCCTAGTGTGCCGTCGGTGTTACCACGAAACAAAGAGCTCCCTGTGGTGTGTGAAATGGCCAAACCCTGACTGTTGTAAAATAAACTGAGCTATTGTGTCTCCTTTTAAATAGGCGAGTGTGCTGCTGTGCTGGAGGGCTGGTGTGCTCTGTGCTGTGACCTAAGGGGGAAGGAATAAAATATCGTTTCTATCGGTGCCTGCCTGCCTTGTCTCGGGGGCCGCGGCGTTCCCAGGGCAGCCTGGCAGCTTCCCACGCCGTCCCAGGGTCAGGGGAGCGGGGGCAGCGCCCTGGGCAGCACAGCCGGGCTTTGTGCCGGCCGAGCCCCGTCCTGCTCCCTCTGCAGCTCAGCAGAGCCGGAGCCCGTGGGAAGGGAGCGCGGGGGCGTGGCCGCGGGCGCTTTTGTCCCTGGGTTTTTTGGGAACCGCATTGTCACGGTGCTGGAGGCACGGCCGCGGACACTTCGGCCATGGACACTTTTGTCCCTCAGTTTTTTGGGAGCCGCCGCGTCTGGCTGCTGGAGGCACGGCCATGGACACTTTTGTCTCTGGGTTTTTGGGAGCCGCTGTGTCACGCTGCTGGGGACACGGCCATGGACACTTTTGTCCCTGGGTTTTTGGGAACCGCGGACACTTTTGTTCCCTGGGCGTTTGGGAGCCGCTGTGTCGCGCTGCTGGCGCGCCGCTCCGGCGGATGCTGAGCGCTGCCAGGGCGCGGTGACAGCGGCGACAGCGGTGACAGCGGAGCCGCTGTGACGGCCCCACCTGGGCCAGCACCCTCCTGGGGCTTGGCTGCGGCCCGTGGCACCGGGGCCGGGCTGCCGGGGGCTCCGGGGCTGTGCCAGCCCTGCCGGGGGGAGCGAGCGTCCCTCGGGGCCGGCTCCCACCCCCGGCCGGGTTAATCGGCTCGAGCGCGTGATTGCCGCTCGCTGATGGCGAGATTAGAGCAAACTGGATTGCACAGCCCTGCTGGCAGCTGGCCACGCCGGGCCCGGGGCTGGCACCGCCCGGGGAGGGGCGCGGCATCCCGGTGCCCACCGCCCGCAGGGATGCGCGGTGCCGCCGGGCCCCGGAGGGCGCTGAGCTGGCACGGAGGGGCTGGCACGGCTGAGGGGGACACCCTCGGTGCCAGGCTGGCAGGACGGGCCGTGCTGCCCGCTCCGCTCCAGCAAAAGGCGGTCGCAGCCTGTGTGTGAGCCCATCCTCGGCCGGTCACCGCGGCGGGAGGTGAAGCCCAGCAGGGCGGACAATGGGAACGGGAGGGAGCGCCGCGACAAGGACGCGCAGCTCGGGGTGCCCAGCCCTGCCCACGGCTGGCACGGTGGGCGCTGCCCCTGCCCTGCCCTCCCCTCCCTCTTTCCCAAAGGCGGGCGGGAGCCCTGTGCCTCCCCTCGTGACTGCGATAAACATTACACCGAGGCCATTAATGTTTAATGAGGTTTGTCTCCCAGTTAATGCGCGCTCCCGTGGGTGCCCACTCGCAGAGCGAGGCGCCCGCCGGAGCGACGACACGCCGAGGCCATGGGGGACGGTAAGGACAGTAAGGGACACCTCCCTGCGACAGCGGCGCCCGTCCCTCCCACCCCGGGGGAAGCTCTCGGTGAGGATTTGGGGTGGGCACACGCGGGGTTGGATCCTCAGAGCTCCACATCGGTACCAGCCGGAGTTTGGCTTCTCCTGGGCGTGATTTCTCCTTCCGAGCTGCTCCCGGCACAGGGCTGAGCTGTCAGGTAAGGCGGCCGGAGCGGTGACACGGTGACGAGCTCGGTGACACGGACAGGGGTTGTTGGGGTGCGTCTGGTGCGAGGTGTGAGCCCCAGGGCTTGTTCAGTGTGTGCTCTGAGGGGACAGAGCCGCTTTGGAGTCCTGCAGGCAGCGGCACTTCCCGAGGGGGCACTGGGTCCTGCCTGCAGCTGCACCTGGAGCTCCTGAGCATCCTGCAAGTGCAGCCTGCAGTGCATCCCGTGAATTTGCCCAGAATCCTGCAATTTGTCCAGTATCCTGCAAGTGCATGCCGTGAATTTGCCCAGGACAAGCATCCTCCAAATGCAGCCTGCAGTGCATGCCGTGAATTTGCCAAGGATGTTGAAGCTCCCGGGGTGAGACCCAGGAGTTTCCTGGCTCAGCTGCGTGCCAAGGAGGTCACAGCGCTGTCACTTGCTGGTCCTGGTCTCTCCCACCTCCGCACTGTGAGGACGTGGCTCTCACTGGAGTTTCTCCTCTTTTCAGAGCAAGTGCCTGAGCAGGGCCAGGACAGGTTCAGCTACGGTGAGTGTGTGCCCGGGGCTGGGCAGGGGGGTGGCAGCCCCTGATACCCTGCACTGGGCTCTGCGAGAGCCTGGGGCTGGCCTGACACCTCCTGGCCGTGCTCCTCCCCAGACTATGACACCATCCGCAACGGGGGGCTCATCTTCGCAGTCGTGGCTTTTGTCATCGGGCTCCTCATCATCCTCAGTAAGTGCCTGCGTGGGCCGGACACCCCTGGGCGCTGCTCCTGCTGCACTCAGCCCCTGCTCTGGCTGGGAAGGGGCTGGGGGGCACCAACCCTGCCCCACGGCAGCAGGGGTGGGCACAGCCTGCCCCCGGGGCTGCCTGGGAACTTTCCATCCAGGCACGCTCCCAGCTCAGGGCGAGTTGGGAGGGAGACCACGTAAATATTTTGTGTTTCCCTGCCAGCGCCCGGGCTTCAGAGGGAAGGTCACTCATTAAAAATAGCAGAGAAAACTCTGACATTTCCAGAGAGGGGAGCCAGCGTTCCCAGAGCCCTCCAACCTCGGCAGCTCCCAGACTGACCCAGTGTCAGCACTGTGGCCCTGCCAGGGTGTTCTGGCACCGCTCTGTGCAGGGCGGCTGCGGTCACAGCTGCTGCAAGGATGGTACTCACTAATTTTAGGGGGAAAAAAACCATGGAAAGCGGCAGCACTTGCAGCCATGGGGCAGCTGGAGCCTGTGGGCAGTGCCAGGGCTGCAGGGGTGGCTGGGGTGGGTGGGGGAAGGCTCAGCCTCAGTCGCTCCTCTCGCCCCCAGGCCAGCGGTTCCACTGCGGAGGGAGGAAGAAGAGGAGGTGGGTGTTGGGCTTTCATCTCTGCTGCCTGTTCCAGTCCTGTTGGACAGAGCCAGGGTTCAGCCCCATTCCCCCCTCTCTCAGCCACGTTGCCCAGTGTAACCCTTCTCCCTATTTGCTCCACAGACAAGGGAACGAGGACGAGCTGTAGGTGCAGGTAGGAGCTCCCTGCGCTGGGCAGCGATGCTCTGGGGTACTCGTGCTCCAGGGAAGTACTCCTGGGCAGGTCCCTGCCCTGGGGGCACGCTGGCCATGTCCCCCTCGCTCTCCCCAGCTCCAGAGCTGCGGTGCCCCCATGGAAGCAGAGCTGCAGCCGAAGCCCAGCACTCCTGGCCAGCGGCCACCCCTGACCCCGCTCCAGTGGATCCATTACCCCGCAGGGCCAGAAGGCAAATTACCCTCGTGCTTCCCCCTCTCTTGGACCCAGCGAGAGTTCCTCGGCTAATAAAGTTCAGCTCTGAGAGGTTAAACTGCGTGCCCGAGGCGTTTGAATCGCCCACTCTCCTGGCCCGGCTCCAATCCCTTTTCTGCCCTGCAGACCCAGGAAAGGCTCCGGCAGCCCGGGGCACGGGGCAGTCGCCTCCGCCCTGGCTTTGCTCCGGATGTTTCTTCTCCCGGCTGCGGGTCCTGGATCCTGCGGCACCTCCCTTTCCCTTGGGATGCCCAGGTAGCAGCTGGCAGCACCGCGGGGCTCTTTGTGTGCTCCTGTCTGGCTGGGATGGGGTTAATTCTGTCCCTGGCACCCTGGCCATGCTGGGCTGTGTGCTGGGATGGGGTTAATTCTCTCCCTGGCCATGCTGGGCTGTGTGCTGGGAGCTGGGGAGGTGTTGGGAACGCTCCAGTTCTGGTTCCTGCTGCTCCCACAGCAGCAGCGCTGTCCCTGGGGTGGGCAGGATCCCTGCAGGGGACACGGCCAGGACAGCCCCAAAGTGACCACAGGGACATTCCAGAGCAGGAACGTTCCTATACCTGACACCTGCTCAGGTATGGGAGAAAAGGGAAAGGAGAAAGGGGGGTGCTAGGGAGTTACATTTGCCTCACAGAACAATCCTTCCCAGCAAGGGTTGGGCATCACCTGCAGAGGGCAAGCGGAGAATTTCAGCCTTCTGCGTTTCCTCTTTTTCCCTTTTCTTGCGCTCACGCTCCCTCTGCTTTCACTTTATAAACTGCCTTTATCTTTTTCCCCGCGCGTTTGGGGGATTTTCCCTGCTTTTAATCCCTGCCTGCCCCGCTGGGGAGGGGAGAGGTGGAGCAGCTCAGTGGGTAACTGGTGTCCAGCCAAGGTCAGCCCAGCCCAGCTCCACAGAACACGATCCTTCTGGGTCAGGAGCGGGGCTCGGATGAAGCACGGAGCTCTGTGGGAGCTCTCGGCACTCTCAGCTTCGGATCCAGCCAGAAACGCCTCTTAAAAAAAAAAAAAAAAAAAAAAAGCAAAACTCTCCCACAATTGGGCAGCGAGCGAGGAGGAGGAGGGAGGTTGGCTCTGAGTGCCAGAGCTGGCCCGACACAGACCCCTAGTGACAGCAGGGCACAGGGCTGCCTGTCCCCAACCCCTGCAGGGCACAGGGCTGGCTGTCCCCAACCCCTGCCAGCTGGGCACAAAGGGGCCCTGGGCACCCCAACCACGCAGAGAAGGAGGGGATCAGGCAGGGATCCAGCAGGAGGGAGCTCACTCCCAGCCTGGGGCAGCATTTATGGAAGTGCATTTACCAGGAATGAAATATAAAGTGAAACCCCAACTGTAAAAACTTTAATTGCATCATTTGGAATATTGAAGGGCTGAGAAAATGAGAAAAACCCACAAACGCAAAGACACCAAATATGTTTTAAACGTCATTTTGGCTGCAGCATATAAATAACAAGGATTACTAAAATTCAGCAAAATGACAGCTGCTTATTTGCAGCAAATGGAATTCAGAAATATATGCATTTGACTCCTCTCCTGAAAACACCATCAGCCTTTTTAAGAGCTTTTAGTAAGTAGTCGTACATAATCCTAATAATAATATTTCACCTTGCCTTTCTTGTCTGTTCAGTCCCATCTCATTACTTTGTTATTATGTGTTACTGAACATTTGTCAGTCTGGGGAAGGTTTGGGTGAGGAACCCCAGCTCAGGGGTGTCCTCCCCTCACCTGAAGCCACTGTGCTTGTTCAGGTGTGCAAGGGGCTGCCCTCAGTGACCCCGAGCATCCCAGCACAGCCGGGATGGAGAAACCAACTCTGGGGTTGGTGTGGGCTTCGATGGAGGTCAGACATTGACAGAAAAATAGGATTAGCTGGGGGAAGGTTATTAGGCAAAATCCGTGCAATTTGTCTAATCTGAGGTGCTTATTTAACACAGTAAGGAGATTATTTTGGAATATAATTTTGACTTGAGAGTGACCCACTAATAAAGACTCGTTGCAGCTTTGCACAGCTCAAGCAGAACAGGAGTCCTTCAACCAAGGAAGAAAATGGTTAATGGTTAAACTCCATCCGTCTTAGAGGTGTTTGTGCAACTAAACGATCCTGAGATTCTATGCAAATTGCCTGTTTAACAGCACTGAAGGGTTTGGTCACATCGGAACTGCCCTGGCCGTGCCTCACTGGGTCCGGTGGGGCTGTGTCCCCCAAAAGCAGCAGCTGAGGGTCCCAGGAGGCAGGAGGGCAGCAGGGTGTGAAGGGAACTCATCCTCAGCAGGGTGTGAGGTGAACCCATCCTCATCCAGGTCCCGCAGCCCTGAGCCCAGGGCTCCCCTCCTGCCCAGCCCCTCCCTCCCCAGGACCCCACAGACAGAACCCCCGTGGCTCCGGGGCCGGGGATTAGGGAGGGAAAAGCCGTGTCTGGAGCTCTGTCTGGGCACCAGATGGCATTAATGGCATTATTCTGCACGGCTTGGGGGCTTGGGGACAGCCACGTGTGCCCGCACCTGCCCGGCCCCACGCCCCAGCTGGGGATGGGGTGTGAGGTTTCTGGGACTAGGTGAGAGGCGAGAATTTGACTCCGTGTTTTCAGAAGGATGATTTATTATTTTGTGAGATATTACATTATATACTTTATATATTTTATTTATTTATTTATTTTTATTTATATATTTATATATTTATATATAAATATATAAATATATATTTATAAAATATATATTTATATAAATATATTAAAATATATATGAATATATATAATAGATAATATATAGTATATAGTATATAGTATATACTATATACTATATACTATATACTATATAATATATAATATATAATTTTATAATGAAATATTATATTATATCATATCATATTCTATCATCATATCATATTACATCATATCATATTATATCATACTATATCATATCATATTCTAAAACTCTATTGAAGAACGATAAAGCATATATCACAAGGTTAAACAAGAATGACAATGAAAACTCTTGCCTGACTCCTCAGAGTCCGACACAGCTGATGGTGATTGGTCACTAATTAAAAACAATTAACATGGAACCAATCAAAGATGCACCTGTTGGTAAATGCTCTCCAGGCCACATTCCCAAGCAATCAGATCATTCTATTTTTCATTTTTTTCTGAGGCCTCTCAGCTCCCCAGCACAAGGTCCTGGCCGAAGAGGATTTTTCAGGAAATATTCTGGGGACACTGATGGGGGACAGGGGCAGCACCCAAACCCACGGGCAAGGCCAGCCCCCGGCTCTTTCCCTGTGCTCCTCGCTGAGGAGGTGTTGGCCTTCTCCCCTGAACCAGGCAATCCCGGGGGATTTCTCTCACAGCCCCTTGAGCCATTAATCTGCTCAGAGCAAATCTTTTTCTGCGGCGCAAAGGGGATTGGGTAAATAATACAGTGGGCAACTGGAGTGCCCTTTTCCTCTGGGAAGGCTTCCAGAGGCAAACAGCTTCCCCTTTGGAGCTGGTTATTTATTCCCTGTTTGCTCCACCAGGCTCTGGATGGACAGGTGGGAGGCAGAGGGGCTCTGGCTGGCTGTGGCCTGTGCTCATCCCTGACTGGGAGAGAGGGGATGAGGCAGCACGGAGCAGCCAGGGAGGAGCTGCCAGCCCTGCCCGCGGTGCCAGGGACGCGTTTCGCCCGTGAGGAAACACAAATGCAAAATGTCTCCTCGTTAGTTTAAAGAGGAGAGCGGCAAATGGTGACTCAGGGAGCCAGAGAGGAGCGCTGGAGAGAGGAGAGATGGGCTGGGCTGGCGGGCAGCCAGACACGTGCCTTGGGCTCGCTCTGCTCTGCTCTGCTCTGCTCCCGAAAAGGCAGCGCATCCAGCAGCAGCACCTCTGCAAGGGCAGCAGAGCTGGAATTACCCTCCAGCCCCAGGAAATGGCAATACTGACCCAGGAAAGGGCATTATAGCCCCAGAAAATGGCATTACAGGCCCAGGAAATGGCACTCCAGCCCCAGGAAATGGCATTATAGCCCCAGAGAATGGCATTTCATCACCTGGAAATGGCATTACAGGCCCAGGAAATGGCATTATAGCCCCAGAGAATGGCATTTCAGCCCCTGGAAATGGCAATACTGGCCCAGGAAATGCCATTCCACTCCCAGGAAATGGTACTCCAGCCCCAGGGAATGCCATTCCAGCCCCCATTTCCCTGTCACACTGCCCCAAGGAGGAGGTGATTGGGAGTATCTCCTCAAGGCAGCCCAGGACGGGCAGGCTGGCTCCTCCCGGTGGGATTTGCAGTGGGATGCGCAGCAGGACGTGCCTGGAAGCACAGGAGGGTCCCCACGAACCCAGCCCGTGCCTCAGGACCGTGCCTTGCAATCACAGAGGTTGGAAAACCCCTCTGAGACCATCCAAGTCCATTAACTAGCGCTGCCAGCACTAAAGCAGAGGTTTAGTGGTCCCCAGAGGTCACATCTGTACACATCTGTCTCCTAAATCCCTGCTTTAAATCCCTCCACGGCTGTCCTGGGCAGGCTGTTTAGCCCCTGGAGCTTGGTAGAACCGTGCAAAGCCCCTGGAGCTGGTGAGGACCCGGACCCCGCTCTGCTCCCCGCTCCCCTCGAAGCCCCGGCCCCGTTCCCCCTGCCCCGGTCCCGCTCAGCCGCGGAGCGCAGCGACGCTAGAGGGAACCAAACCCCAGCTTCTGTCCGGGAAAGAGCTGCTCCTCGGGAAGCCTTGGGAGCATCCCGGCTGCCCGGCGAGGATCCGGGCACGGGGAACGCGGGAGAACAGAGCCGCAGGATGGTTTGGGCTGGAGTTTTGAACTGCTCCCCGTTTTGGTGTCGCTGTGTGCTCACAGCCTCGAGTGCCAGGGTTCCCTTATGGAAACTCAGCTGTTCTGCAGTGCGCACACAAAGGGCTCAAGCAGGATGTCGTTTTTGGGTACACTGACCTGCTGGCACCGGTTTGTCCAGGGGTTTTACTGAGGCACAGCCCTGGACGCCTTCAGGGCATTTGTCCTCCCTCCACTCCATGTGGCATCCACCTGT